AAAAGAGTGAACGTAAGGTGAAAGAGAATGTATGTCGAATGAGGGAGATGAGAGGTGATCATATCCTGATACCTGAACATCTTCCAGCAAACCATTTCCAGATTCACCACCAACAATCACCATCTTGTTCCCAATGACAGTCGCTCCATGCTATTCACAGTACATTCAAATTTCTCAAATGTTGCATAAAAAAATAGGTATCTCTCACAGCTTGCCCAGATTGAAAGCTACATTTGTGGGCTATGATTAAGACATTTTACATTGAAACGAGGAGTAGGCTTTTCCCCACTGATTGAAAGCACCATCCAATTTTCAGAACTGCCGGAAGTGCAACTATTAAGCTCTGGTGCGGTGGATGAAGAATGGCAATTGAGTTCATCACTTTCAGCACTTGCTGCAGCACCTTCTGCCTGATAAGATTGAAGACCTTAATGAGAATGATTCTAATTGTGACATTAGATGGAACTAAGTTCAATTCTTACATTGGAACTGCCAAATCGTTTTGTGGGCCTTATAGGACTTCTAGTTCCTTGAGCAGAGTCAGAAAGTTGAACCTTTAGTCTGACCAAATCAAAATATATTATGGAAAAAGCTACATAGAACATGTCATTATGAACTATATAAAAAATTGTGAAAAGGAATGTTAAAAGTAATTTTTATTCCAACAACAAATATGTCGGGAAACTGGCAAATAAAAGTGATATATGTATACTGCCACTTGAAAACACTAAGATCTCCTCAAGGTAAACCTACTAAAGCAACATCAGGTTATAACATCTTTCTACTCTTGATATAACAATGGTATGATTACTTATCCAACATTTCTTCAATTTTAAGTGAGCACAATCACAAATGAAGCCTTAATGTGCAGCTTTTACATTTTGCCCCTATATTAGCATATTTCATTTGATAAGAGTACTATTGATGAAGAAGGCATGCTAAGCTAGCCTGAAATAGGTGCTGTTGGACTACAGACTAGACATCTAAAAATAATGCAGCAGCTGTACTTCCTTCTCATTCAATTACATACCTTTGTCACGAAGATGTTATCAAATGTAAATTCACATAACACTTGAATATGGAAAGTAAATACTTTTCATTGAATTTGCGGTAGACAGGGCTCATTCCACCCCCTCTCAAAACTTCATTAACACATACTCAACCTTCCCTCAAACGTCTTAAACTGTCCAATTTTGCAGATAGCATAAACATATAACAGTTGAAATTCTCTTAACGGCAAAAATTAAGGAAGAACACACAAATAGAACAGGAATAACAGTAAAAATATGAATTATTTTAAGAACCTATGGATTTTCGAGACAAGAATTACAAAGATGGCCATTCAAATAAATAAAATACACAAGGATACCAGAAATTGGAGCAGATAATAACTCTAAAGGGGATCCACAGAACACTAATCCAAAACTAAACACATACATACATACACACAAACACGCACACATTGGAAAGATATTCAGATAAAATTACCTGCCAAGCTTCATTCTTCTCCTCGAAAACCCAAACATTTCTAATAATTCTCAAAACTTGACAAGCTTGAAGTCGGATATAAAGAGGTAAACCTTGACAAGAAACCCAAGGAGACAATGTTATTGCGGTACTACAAAGCGCATTTTTTACGGATGAGCTCACTCACATAAACCTCACAGAAATATATATGTGGGCAAAGGATAGGGCTTGAAAAATAATACTGATAAATAAATAATGTAGAAGGAAACTTTGCGCTGCTGCTCTTGTGTGTTATCGCGTGAACGTAAGTACACATTTACGGCGTCGGAGAGTCTATGTATCGGCGGCAATGGTGGCTAAGATTTGCAGTAAAAGGACTTGTGAATGACAGAGCCGCGTAAGTTAGCATGCTTGTTTCACATGCAGTGCCATCAGTGTGGTGTCGGGGCTAAATGATAACATGCGCCGAGGCTTGATCACGTGTGGTTGCATTTAGTTTAATACAGTTGGTTGTCATTTATTTTTTCTCTTCTTCTATTATTACTGCATGTAAATTAGATTGTTATGTTACTGTTATGCGTGCTATCTAAATATAGTGTTACATATGTATTTATTTATTTGGGAAAAAGTAAAATTAAGTTTATTTTTCGCAATCGCATTAAATTGGTAATTTTTTTTTTTTTTCTCTACAAATTTGGTAAAACAAAACATGAATGATGATGTGGGTAAATGTTATTCCACTACCTCTACACATGTGAAAAAAAAAATGAAGTAGGTTTGTTTTTAAATGTAACTTGAGAGAAGTGTAGGAATGATTAATGGAGAGGAGGATTTTGACCGTTGGCTACTTCTATTGAAAGTGAAGGTACTGAGGAGCATTTAATGAGGGGGAAAAGATGGACCCATTTAACGCATTGGAAATTGGGATTGGCAATCTTTTCTATTTTGTATCTTGGCTCTATGCGTCCTTGTCAACGTCAAACCACAGCGCTAATAATAATTACAAATCTCTAACTGGGCTGGGCCTTCCATTACACTGCCGTATCTTATAAATCACAATGGGCCTAGTAAGGTCTACTTTGCATCGGCTGCAATTTCATAACCGTCCGTTCATGAAAGATGGATCACAATAGATAGACCAAGGATAAGTCAATTCTTTTTTTTCCCCAAATGGATAGAGATCTCATAACAATCAGAAAAACAAGAGAAAGTTCAATACAACCAAACAGCCGGAATCATGGTAGTACCACACAAGTGTGGACTAAACACACAACCCAAAACAACAACTTTATTTGAAAATTATCCTACATACCATCAAGATCAATTTTATTTACACAGATACTAACTTTATTTTTAATTTACAATTACATTAACACCCTATTTTTTTTATTCGGAATTATACCACATCCTTTATCTAACACCCTTTTCATCCAGTGGTTGGCAGACGCGCTTCGACGGGGAAGCATCAATCTCTTGAACTGAACATCCAGTGGTTGCACGGTGACCGGCAGGTGATCGGCGACCGTCTGGTACAACGATTCGAAAGGCGGAGGGTCGACTGGATGGTGACCACCTAGTTAGAGCACCGGCAGTGGCATGGCGCGGTCAGTGAAGGTTCGGCCATAGGGATTTTGATCGAGGACGGTAGTTAGGCTGAGTAGCGATGTGTACTACAGCTCGTGGTCCAGCGATGACAAGCACGGTGATTCTCAACGCCTTGATTCTTTGAACCCGTTCCCAATGCCTTGATTCTCTGCGACATATGCTTTGTATGGTGCGCAATAGGCCTTCCTTCTAGGCGATAGTTGTGTAGCTGATGCGCAATAGGCCTTCTTATATATAAGTTGTTTGATAAAACTCTAACGTATTCTAACACACGAGACTGGTGACCAATGGTCAATCTTTTATTAACCTGAATGATTAAAATACTTGAACAAAGTAATGGGATATTTAAAGGTTAGAAATCTCAATCATATATCTAATCCTATAATGACTTGATATGGGATACTATACCTCAAGGAGTAAACCGGTCCAGTGAGTTAGTCGAATAAACCGAATCATTCGCCCTAGTCGAACAAAATCTGAGTAGGGTGGTCGTGGTCGAAGATCACAGGAACGAGAGCATCTAGAGAGTAAATATAGCTTAAAGGGGTTTCAGTACTTGGAGAGCAGGTCAATTCCAGACCCATGGAGGGTCTAATCAAAGATCGACCTGTGACACAAGTGGTCGTCCAATCGACCGAAACCCAGACTTGGAGCAGTCAGCACTCTACATCAGATCGACTCAGACTTGGTCGAGCATTCGAGCCTTCGAGGAGATTTCAGAGGAATCAAACCCCCACGTGTGGAGGACACGTGGCACGACCTGATTGGTCCATATCGCATAACCGTCTCTGGCACACCTTTAGTGTGTGTTGTACAATTGGGCAGCCTGGGCTGCGTTAGGCAGCCACCTCAACTTATCTGGGCAGCAGGTATCTCATCCCTATATATAGTGTGAGCTTTACAATTTCAGCACGAATTACCTATTATACTCTTGAGAATTGAGTTTGGAGTGATATTGACTTAAGCATTGGAGGCTCTTCACCGGAAAACCCCTCCGGTGTGAGAGTTTGCTGATACTCGGCGTTCTACCGGTGAGGAGAAGTTCGAGCAAGTTGATTCTAGCCGGTTAGGAGGTTTTGACGTACAATTTTGGCGCCGTCTGTGGGGACTTTGTTCGAAAAGGCGTGTGTAAAGCTTGAGAGCTATTTCAGCTATGGAGGATGAGGTTCTTCGAAAGAATTTGCAGTCGTCGTTCGATGAGGCGTGGACGAAGACGCGACTGTTCGGAGATGGCCCTCCTCTGGGCTTTTCTAGACCTTCTCAAACTCTGGTGACCCTGACGTCTGCTCCTTAGGGTTTTGAGAGTCCATGGTGGCTTTATGCTAGTCTTATAAAAGATGAAGGTAGTGTGGCTATCAAGACCTTTGTTAGTAGCCACAGCTACCATACGGACTTGAACAATAAACAAGCAACTGCTTCATGGGTTGCTGGGGAGTATCTACCTATGATTAGGAAGAAGCCTAAGATGAAAATTACTGACTTGGAGGATTCTATCAGTGAAAAATATGGTGTGCAAACCCTCTAGGTGGAAACTGTACAAAGCAAAAACTAAGACTCTTCAACTGCTTAGAGGTACAGAGGATGAGCACTATGGAAATCTTAGGAGGTACATTGCAGAGCTTCAAAGGGTTGATAGAAATGGCACATTTCAGCTTGTCTTGGAGAGTGGCAGTGTATTCAAAGGTTTTTATGTTGGTTTAGTGCACTCAGACAAGGTTTCTTGTAAGGCTGTAGGCCAATTATTAGTTTTGATGGGTGTTTCTTGAAGAATTTTTAGGAAGGTGTTTTATTGTGTGTTGTTGGCAAGGATGGGAACAACCAGATATTTCCCTTGGCATGGGCAATTGTGGATTGTGAGAATGAGAGCAATTGGAAATGGTTTTTAGATATTCTTTTTCAAGATTTGGGGATAACAGATGGACTTGGATGGACATTTATTAGTGATCAGCAAAAGGTTAGTTTTTGAATATGATTACATGCACTTTTTTTTATATATATTTCTTTGTTTGGCTTGTCTCTAATATGTGTTCTTCTTTAACTCATTATGTAGGGACTCATTGCTGCTATAAGGGATCTCTCACCACATGTAATACATAGAAACTGTGCACGACATGTGTACATGAATTGGAAGAAATCTCACAAAGGCAGTGCACTGAAAAGCTATTTCTAGAGGGTAGTGCACAACACATACAAGGCATCTTATAAGGAGGCACTTGAAGGGATGAAGGTAGTGGATAAGGAGGCTTATGAGGATTTCATGAAGATGGAAAATTTCAGGTTCTGTAAAGCTTTTATCCTTGAGAATCCAAAATGTGATATGATACTTAATAATGTATGTGAAACTTTCAACAGTACCATAGTGAAGGCAAGGAAAACATCTATTGTTGACATGCTTGAGAGTATTAGAACTTATGTAATGGAAAGGCAGCATCACAAACAATTGTTGACCAATGAAGTAAAAGACACAATATGTCCTAGGATAAGGAAAGAAATTGAGGAAAATAAGTTGAGTAGTAGGTTGTGTGTGACCAAACCTGCAGTGGGTGAAAAATTTCAAGTTGCCATATCAAATGATCAATTTGTAGTTGATTTGAAGTGCATGACATGTAGTTGTAGAAGTTGGGACATATCTGGTATACCATGTATCCATGCTTGTTCTGCAATTTATTACATTAAGAGGGATGTAGTGGAATTTCTTAGCCCATACTTCAGGCTAGAAAGAAATTTGAGAGCATACTCCTTTCCTCTTGAACCATTAAATGGACCTAAAATATGGTCTGAAGCATCTAGGTCTACTGTCAAGCCACCTCCATTTAAAAAGATGTTTGGTAGACCTAAAATAAGGAGAAGATCACCTAAAGAAGAGGCCAAGAGTGAAACTAAGCTGAGGAGATTTGAATTACAAATGACTTGCAAAAAATGCAAGAAAATTGGGCATAACATCAGGATTTGCCCCAATGAAGCTGCTCCTACACAGACAAGAGTGAGTTTTATTGTTTGTGCAAAAAAAGATATGGTGTGATTGTCTCTAAGCAGGCAGGAGACATTTATATGAGGGTATGCTTCATTGTTTACCATATATTTTTCCTGTGCCAATTTATTATGCATTTTTCAGAAATTTACTTAATTTTTTTCCACAACTGCTTAATCAGATGCCAGACAAAGTAGAGTTAACTTTGTACCTAATAGAAGACCTAGATCATCACATGGACAAAAGAAACAAACATCCAAGAATTGCCCAAGAGATCAGGGGACCCAAGAGAGTGTTTGCAATTTTTCCCCTTCGTTGTCATGGATATGTACTGTTGTTAGGGTTTGGGGATGTATGTTCTGAACTGCCTTATTGTTTTTTTTATGTTTTTAGTTGTGGGATTGGAGATGCAGTTGTAAACAATGTATTTTTTGAATTTGGATTGGATTTGATGTTTTTGGTCGTGGAATTTGGATTGGATTTGACTTTGAATTGTATAAGGATGGCAGCAAGACTTTTGTTATTAAACATGTCTTCATTTGGTATTTTTTGAGGTTGTTTGGTATTTAAGATGGTTGTACACATATTTCTGAGATGATGATTGATTTTGCCACATGTGCACAGATTTGTGCTTATAAGATGGTTGTCAAGTGAAATAAAGTTACAGAAACCTAACCAAAATAAGGCAAAATGATCATTGTCAATATACATCATTATATGACACCAACATACACCGAAATGAACTTACAGAAAAACATAAGCTGATTAAAAAAATAAATAAATTCCACAACAACTGCAAAGTTTCCAAAAGGCAGCATCAGAAATGGTTCATTGTCAATACATAACCGAAATGAAGTAAGAAAAACTGAAAGCTAATTCAACATCAATGAACCATTATCCCCTTTACCTAAGGAAAAAAGCAAAACAACAAATAGCACAACTGACACACACACACAATAGGGTATCTGAAGATGTTTCTCTTGGACAAGACTTGTAGTTGCTCCTCCAAGTCATTTACTTTGGACTTAAG